TGTTCTGACAACATATAAAACTGTGCTGAAAACCCTGCTTCTCTGGAGCAGTCCCTCAGAGTTATCACAGAGGCCGTCTTCCTGGCTATAGTCCTCAGTTGGGCTCAAATAACACTGTGTGTGACAGTGACAGAGCAAGGAAAACACAACCTGGGAAACAAGATAGGAGAAAGCAGTGCCCAGTCACTCAGAGCCCACAGGAGGGACGCTGTGTGAGAGAGCCTGGCAAAAGAAAACACTCAGAGTGGTGGCTGTGGGACAGAGTTCTTTTCAAGGCAGCTCACCAAGCGGAGGAAATGATGTTCTACCCTCAAACTTTTTATGAAGGCTGAGAGCTCCAAGCCAGGCAGCTTGAAAACGGCAGCCTCCTGGGGACAAAGGCCGGGCCCCTCTGATTCCAGGCAGGGGAACATCTCTGCAGACTTTCCACAACCTCACAATGTTTCCCCGGTACTGATTGTGACCCCTGAGGGCAAGTTTGAAGGAAGAAACATGACAAAAGGAACCACCCTCGGACTTGAAGACTCAGCTCCCTGCCTTCAAAAGAGTGCTGTGCTGGAGCCCTCAGGCCAAAGTCAGGCCTTTTACAAAAATCGAATCAAACTTTGATCCAGAAAGGAGTTGTTCTGGTTTTGTTTTTTTAATAAGTGCAGAAGTGCAGAGCAGCCCAGGGCCACAGCCAGCAAGTCAGCAGTGGAGCCTCAAAGAACCGGGAAAGGAAGCTAAGAGACAGGTCGGAGACCACGGTCATCGCAGCAGTGATGTTTCTAGCCAGCGAGGCTGTCAGCTGGTCCAGAATCAGAGCCAAAAAGCACTTTTAATTGCTGCTGATGACAGGCGGGTGAGGGAGTGGGTGTCTTCTTTTTGGTATATCTACTCATGAACCATTGCCCCTGGGAGTGACGTTAGCACAGGCAGATAGCTAGATCTGAGCAGAGAAAGGGGGGCACGGCCAAATGGCAGGAAATCACACACGTGAACAACAGGGGTCCTTGGGCAGACAAGAAAAGCAGGGACCTCAGGACTGATAAGAGATCACACATTTGGGGGTGACAAGTGTCCTGGAGGCTGGCAAAGGCAAAGAAAGGTGGGAAAAGGCAGGAATCTCCAGTGTCCAAATGTAACCTGCTCATCAGTTGACCATGGATATAAGACTATGGATATCTGTACAAAGGACTCCTAGGACCTAGAGTGACAAAGGGGCAGCAGAGAAGTGGGCTGGGACGGTAGATGTGTCAGCAGTGCCCCCATGAGAACTGATCAGTAAAGGATTCTTCCCAGGACTTCATTTCACAAGACCCCAGAACAGTATTCCAGGGTGGAGCAGATGTCTGAGATCACTGCCCACCCACAAGCCAGCAGGATGGGGGTGCACACCCCAAACTTAATTCAATGGACCGAAAATAAAAGTATGCAATAATTGTTGCACACCTCTGGCTTCAGACTAATATTACTAATACCTGCCAGACCCAGATGGGGAAACCAAAGTCAAAGGTTGATTACACAATTTGCATCAAGGTTGGATTAAAAAAAAAGACAGGGTACATCTACATTCGATAGAGAAACATCCACTTCAATGTGTCAATTTTTTTTGGTGGGGGGAGGGGTAATTAGGTTTACTTATCTATGTACTTATTTTTTGGAGGTACTGGGGATTGAACCCAGGACCTTGTGCATACTAAGCATGTGCTCTACCACTTGAGCTATACCCTGCCCCCACAATGTGTCAGTTTAAAATGACATCCTGAGTTTTACGAAGAATGCTTATTAAAATCACATTTTCTGTTTCCAGAGTTACCTCCGCAAAGCGCCTGCATAACTCCCTCTCTGACAAATATCTGGCAGCCTTTGTTGATGGCTGATGAGAAGTCAGCCATCTGAGAGCCATCTGTCTTCACCACCCCCTCCCCCTCCCACCAAAGTTCTTTTGGGAAGTTGGAGCCGAGAATTTATACCACATGCTTCCTTCTATCAGATCCGGAGCAGCGAGCCGGAGATCTCGCAAGTGAAATTTACTTTCTGATCATGATGAAGTTATTGGCTTTCTGTTGACATAAATTACATGGGTACCACAGCAGACGAAGCATCATTTTCTCTGTGCTGCACAGTTTTTATAATAGCAGCTGGATTTCTCAATGTAATTTTTCTTAGGGTCAAATTTTCTTCTCCAAGTATACTCGGTGATATGAAACGTGTCAGAACAAATCTAGCTATATCTTTATGTTCTTGCATTATTCAATTCCCAGATTCCATCAGGAAGATGGACAAGGAGAAAAACAATATACCATTAACGACAAAATAGGTATCTGATGCTACCCTGTACAGTATCAGTGCAAAACTGAAAGAATTCAACCCAAGGGAAAGGGGGAAGTTTCCACGATTTACTCCGAGCACCACTGCTCTCTGGGAAACAATACAGAGTTTCTACTGCTATTTATTTCTGGATTCTAGGACACCAGCGCCACAAGAAACACCCTTGGTTTAACAAGAGCTTTCAAGAGGAAAAGGAAACTATATTAAATACTCATCAACTGTAAAATGCAGTCCAATTAAGGAAATGCTAAAATGTGGGAAAGTATCCATCTCAGAATGAAGGGAAAGCAGCCAAGGAGATTCTGTCTCCTAGCAACTATGTCATTAGCACCTGCCTTAGACCGTGGCCATGGTGATCCCACACAGGAACCAAACGCAAGGTCGTAAACCTTGGGATCAAGATACAGAACAGGGGAGGGGGTCCCCAGGCCAAGTGGCATGGAGGGAGGAGCCATGCCTTGGGTGATTATGGGGTTGATCCCAGCTCTGCCATTCACTCCCTATGTGACCTGGGTCCTCAGCTTCCTTATCCATAAGTCAGGGATTTCTTCATTCATGCAAAAGATACTTATTATGAGTCTAAAATTTTCCATGCACTGTTCTAGACACTGATGCTACCTAACGGAACAAGACAGAGAAGGTCCCTGCCTTCCTGGAGCTTAGATTCTGGCAATGGGAACGGAGAGGGTGGGGCGCACAAAGAAGTAGACAAACAGAATAAGCAAGATCACCCCACACAGAGAGAAGTGCATAGAAGGAGACTGAACAGGGGCATGGAACAGCGTCTCAGGGAGGCAGCGTCACAGCTGAGACCACAAAGGGCTGGAGGCAAATCATTCAACAGAAAGGTGCCAGCCAGTAAAAGGCCCTCAAAGATGCTCAACATCGCTACTTAGTAAAGAAATACAAATCACACAGTGAAGTAATAAAAACCACAATGAAGTATCACCTCACACCAGTCAGGATGGCCATCACTGAAAAGTCTACAAATAATAAGTGCTGGAGAGGGTGTGCAGAAAAGGGAGCCCTCCTGCACTGTTAGCGCAGCTGCTATGGAGAACACTGTGGACGTTCCTTAAAAAACTAAAAATACTGTTACCATATCATTCAGCAGTCCCACTCTTGGGCATATATCCAGAAAAGACAAAAACCATTATTTGAAAAGATATATGTACCCCAGTGTTCACAGCAGCATTGTTTACAACAGCCAAGACATGGAAACAACCTAAATGTCCATCGACAGATGACTGGATAAAGAAGATGTGGTGTGTGTTTATGTATGTATGTATGTATGTATGTATACACACACACACACACACACACACACACACACTGGAATATTACTCAGCCATAAAAATGAAATAATGCCTTTTGCAGCATGTGGATAGACCTAGAGATTATCATACTAAATCAGTCAAAGACAAATGTCATATGATATCACTTATATGTGGAATCTAAAAATAACACAAATGAACTTACTTACAAAACAGAAACAGACTCACAGACACATAAAACAAACTTATGGTTACCAAAGGGAAGACGGGGGGGATAAATTAGGAGTTTGCACTAATAGGTACACACAACTATGTATAAAATAAACAGCAAGGTCCTACTGTATAGCACAGGGAACCATGTTCAATATCTTATAGTAACCAATAATGGAAAAGAATCTGCAAACATATATATGTATAACTGAATCACTTTGCTGTATACCTGAAACCAACACAATACTGTAAATCAGCTATACTTCTATTTAAAAAAAAAAAAGTCCCCCAAAGAAGCAGATGACCGTGCTTGGGAAGCCATGGAAATGTGTGTGGTGACAGCAGAGCGGGCTGTAGGGAGAGGCGGGTGATGAGCCAGTAAGGTGGGAGGGCCACAGCACCGTGAGTTCGCTGGGTTCTACGTGGGAAGGGAAGTCATTTTAAACTAAGGTGACATGATCACATTTTTGTTTTAAAAATTCTCTCTGGCCGTGGTCATTCATGCAAGAGATGCTGGGGTGGGATAATGATGTCTATATGGTGAGGCTGTCTGGGGACCAGCACTGTGCCTGGCCACGCACGTGTGCTCCTAAAAGGCCACTCATCATTATAATACATACGGAACTTTGTGCCCATCTCCTCTTTCCATTTAATACATGGCATTACCTGATCAGCTCCAGGGCCTGTCTCCTCCACTAGACTCTGAGAGGGAGCTCTGTGAGCAGGAAGTCTGCTGGGGACTGTTCTCGGTATCGACACCTGTTGGAGAAGGGAGTGTAAATTATGCAGGACTGGGTAGCAGGAGGAGTTCACCATGATATCACTGAAGCAAAGACCTCACGTGGTCCTCCTGGGAGACGTGGGATGCACCTGCAGATCTGCCCCAAGCTGAAGCAAGGGGGCTGGAGCTTTGTAACCCACAGAATCAGTCATGCGATGTGAGTTGCCCAGGAGGATGTGAATGAGGAGAAGCAATTCAGCCAAGGCCAAGTCCAGGAGAGCTGGGGCTTCGGTCCCAGAGCAGGGCCCTCCAAAGCCACCACAGCATCCATCACATTGACGTAAAGGAACCTTGCCAGTTATTTAAGTGTCCATCACCACCCTTATAGGTCATCCTGGTGGTTTCAGGAGGCACATCTGAATTATAACCCCCTGGCTCTCAACACCAGCATTAAGAAGTGATCAGACTACAACCCACCTCAGTCATCCAGAGCACATTTTATTAACACAGATGGACCACGAGTCGGTTTATTAATTTCACAGGGGGACTTTAGGCCCTGGTAAGCACCACTCATGTAGTATACCATGAACTCAATTACAAGGAAGAAGCAAAACGTGTGATTATGATCAAAAATTCCTCACTGAGAACAGTCTCCCCCCACCCAAAAAAATGTATTAAAGGCTTCAGATATACAAATCTAAAAATATGTTACAACATTTAACATGAAGACCCAAGTTCATTTTTTTAAAATACGCTTTAAAATATACTGAGTGTCTCTCCTTCCCTGATTCTCCAATTATGGGAGGAAGGCTTTTTCACTGTTTTTCTCTTCGAAGGCTATCCTCTTCTCTTGTCCTCAGGCAGAACCAGGGCCGGGACTATGATGTCTGCTCGGCAGCCCGCGCCTGTTGGCTCCGCAAGTGGCCCTCGCTGCTGGAGGCCAGCTCCTTTGCTGGGTTCACCCTGCTGGCCTTCCCAGCAGTTTCAATCCAGGGGTGCTGGAGGACCTGGTGGGCCGTGTAGCGCTTTTTGGGGTCGACCACCAGCAACCGGCTCACCAGATCTTTGGCAGCTGTTGGAATGAGAGAAGGACGCGAAAATGAGATGAACACAGGAGGTTCCGAGTTTTTCTTCCCTGCACAGGAAGTAAGAGTACAGACATCCAGACTTGCACACGCGCTGTACCAGAGCCGCACTGTCCCACAGGACTTCCTGCCACGATGGAAACCTTCCATATCTGCAGTACCCACTGGGGACTACTGAGCATTTGAAATAGGGCTGGTGCACCTGAGGAACTGAATTCTTCTTGTATTCACTTTTTCTTTTCAGCAACATTATGTACAATAGCCAAGACGTGGAAGCAATGTAAATGGCTATCGACAGATGATAGATAAAGAAGATGTGGCATATTTATACCATGGAATATTACTCAGCCATAGAAAGAATCAAACAATGCCATTTGCAGCAACATGGATGGACCTGGAAATCGTCATACTAAGTGAAGTAAGTGAGACAGAGAAAGACAGATACCATATGTATTTACTTTTAATTCATTTACACTTACATTTAAATAGCCACTTGCAGCTAGGGGCTACCATACTGGGCTGGAGTCATGGGATCAGGCCCACCACTAACACCCATGGCGCCGCCCAGCCCAAGAGAACACGTGGAGGCCACATACCATACATCTACATATTTTAAATTTGTAATTCAAACTACCAAGTTGTTAAATGAAATATGTCCAATCTTCCTTCCAAATTTGGTACATGTACCTTCACATGGACAAAACTGAAAAACATGGGCAAAGAGACCAAAGTGGTAAATAGTGCAAATTCAGAATTGATTTCATTTTCTGCCCAAGACCATGACTGATTCTAGAGAGACATGATAAGAGCTGGTGGGCCAGGCGGCAGACGTGGAGGAGAGACTGCTCTCCGGCTTGCTGGCTCTCCCAGGCCGGCTCCCTGAGCCTCTTCCCATCACTCAAGAATGCACAGGGGGAAAACACCCACTTTTCTTTATTTTACCGGGGGATGCCTCTTACTCAAGGTCCGTGGCTCACCCACCAATCACCCCTCCTCCACACCCACTGTCCAGGCACCTCTTGAGCATGGAGACCACAGGATTTCTCCTCCCCTACCCCATTCAAGTGAGCAAATTCTGCTCACAAAGTACCCCGTTCCCACTCGCCCCCAACATCACTCCTTCAGGGTTCTCAGAGGACTCAGGGGGTTGAGGGCCAGGTCTAAATGGAATTCCCAGACCCACATGTATGCATATGGATACCTGGATCCCCCCACCAACATGTCCACGCTCTCCCTCTGCCCCCTAAACAGCCACGCCCTGGCACCCTCGCCACCGAGGGGAAAGGTGGGGGAAAGAGGTCTCAGAAACCTTGGAAGCGGGCTGAAGCCATCTGGGCAGGAAATCCTGGGGTCCCCAGTAGGTGGTCTAGAAGGGGGAGCCTGGGCTCTCAGAGCCACATCCTTTGGGCCCCCAGTCTCCTCACTTACGGGGAGGTTTGTAGCCAGAACAGGGTCCTCTAAGGCATGGGCCCAGGGCAAGGGCCACTGTAAGGAAATCTAAGCACAGCGCTGCGTAGAACTTTCTAAAACGATTTTTAGTCCTTCGATTCCCAACCTGCCGCTGCCCTGGTCAGCTCAAGACCCTCACTCCACGTGCAGCAAGCCACCCTCTGCCCACCTTATTTACATGGAAAACAAGAAGCTCTTCCCTTCCCTCAACCCCTAACCCCAGGCGACGGCCCCAGGGCTGAGGACAAGGGCAGTTCAGTATCTTAGATGACATGTTTAGGGGAAATTGAGGGGGAAGAGTTATCACTCCTATTCTATTTTTTAAGCTAAAGAGATTCAAAGACTCAAAACCTCCAATTTTCTAGCTTTCAATTTCACAAGGGCAGTGAGTCGTACAGACAAATCACTAGGGACAAGGGAAGAGATTCCACTTAACCGGGCCAAAACCAAGGAGGACCACATGTGCTTCTGCTCCACTAAAACCTGAGACCTTCACCCCGTGCCTTCCGGAGTCCCTGTGCTCCAAGTATGCCCTGCAGAACCCTGACTATTCCCATGTGAAGTAAGCACCTCCAGTCTGTCTGAGTCACAAAGACTTCTATATATGAGATGGCTTTGGTCTTCCCAAGTGAGGACTACACATTTCTGATCTTGTTCAGTTCTTTGGTTCTTTAATTGGCTTCAGAAAAAGTATTTGGCGATGAGAACTGATGGTCAGCCTCTTTCATTTCATCTCAAAGCAAGTCATGTTTTCAGGATGCTACGGAAAGCTACACAAACCTAGCAGGAAATACAGGATGAAGCACAGCCCGGGTACCACATGGGATCCCTGTGTGCCGTTTTATACACCTGACTGAAAACCCAGGCGGAGGGGCCCCAGCTCTCCATGTCCTTCCCTCCTGCTCAGGAGGCCCCGAGCCTCACCGTCAGAGATGTTGTCCCAGTACGGAGCCAGGAACTCGAAGCGGCCCAGCTGGATGATGTTGAAGAGCTCATCCTGGTCCCTCTCAGGGCTGCGGAACGGGGGGAAGCCACACAGCAGAATGTAGAGGATCACGCCAGCCGCCCACATGTCCACCTCCAGCCCGTACCCTGTGCAACAAAGGAAGAGGCACAAGCGAACCTGAGACCAGGCTGGGTCAAACGTCAGGAGGTCGACAGCGGAGAACCGGAGCTCAAGGTCACAGAGGACGACCTCAGCTCTCGGTAAGCAAGAGCCACTTACAAAGACACAGGTGTGCCCCACCACCCAACCACACCTTCCCTTGCTGCCGAAGCCTACAAGCACAGGGTCTATACCAGGGTTACTCAAGGTTTGGGCCAGGACTGGCTGACCTTTGTGATCCTTTATTATTAGTCTGGGATAAAATGAGCACAGAAATGGAAAGTAAGCATCTGGAAACTCGGAGCAGTTTGACATGACCAGGACACCCCACAGCATGGTCAGTGGATGCCTCTGGTTCAACACTGTACAGGTCAGTCCAGGGCTTGTCCCCCACACATGGTAACTCAAACATGGTGTGAGCTGTGTTCTGGCACCCTGTGGCAGGACCACCTGCAGGTCCATCCACATGGCTCTGGAGATTTTCCCTGGTCCTTCACCGAAGATGTCCGAGATGCCCTGGTCGACACCAGCTATGTCTACTCCTATCCGTTCATTTCCTGCCCTCATTCAAAACACAATCATTTACTGGGTTTTTTTTTTAAGGACTAGAAAAAGACTGATGCTATTAGCTGTATCCTCCATGCATGTGTACATACACACATTTATACTGTCTTCAACAGATTTAGGGGGGAGGGTATAGCTCAGTGGTAGAGCATGCACCTAGTACGTATGAGGTCCTGGGTTCAATCCCCAGTGCCTCCATTTAAAAATAAATAAACAAATAAACCTAATCACCCCTCCTCAAAAAAAATTAGAATCATGTTGTGCATATTCTGTAGCCTATGTGGTTCATTTAATATTACACCACGGCGTTTCCTATACAGGAATTTTCTATGAAGAACAGGAAAACCATTCTTCAAAAACATGATTTTTAAAACTGTGTTATTTACAACTATAAGTAATTCTGTGATGGATTAAACATTAAACATGAATATGTAATACTAGTATATATTAATACAGATTAAATATCTGTGCTCTTCTCTAATTATATTCTATTTTTGTTCCAAGCACAAATTGCCTTTATTGGCTCACAGATCCAAACGATGGGACAGGCTGGTGTGGACATGACCTCAGGGCTGTGTTTCTGCCTCTTCCTCAGCAGGTCAGCCTCATCCCTCTGATTATAGCTTAAAGTAACTTTCTAATAGTTAAATGTGCAAAATAATATTTTGATACCTATTGCCCAATTATCCTCCCAGAAGTTTATTAACAGAGGTATATACATTTCCAAACACTTTCTAATATTTTCCCTTTGGGAAAGGAAAATACTTGGCAATTTTAATTTGGAAGTTAGATATTCAGTATTAAGCCCTTGAGTAACGTTATCAAGGCACAAATAAGCAGAAAAATATTAAGGGAATAACTCACTAACGACTGCTTTCTGGACAACTTTAACGGTCTTTTCTTAGTTCTGACCATCTTTCACTCACTCTTGGGAATGTCTCGCTCAGCTAGACTCCCCATCCTCTTGAAATTCACGCCTCAGCCTCATCACACTTTCCTGGTCCTCTTCCTGCCTCCGGGCTGCCCAGACATTGGCCGACCCTCCTTCTCTCTCTCATCTCCTCACTCCTGGTCCCCCCTCAAGAATCTGTCTTTGCTTTCCCTATGATCCAGCAATCCCACTCCTGGGCATGTAGCTGGAGGAAACTCTAATTTGACAAGATACATGCACCCCAATGTTCACAGTAACACTATTTACAATAGCCAAGACTTGGAACCAACTTAAATGTCCACCTACAGATGACTGGACAAAGAAGTTGTGTTATATATACACAATGGAATACTATTCAGCCATAAAAAAGAATGAAATACTGCTATTTGCAGCAACAGGATGGACCTAGAGATTATCATACTAAGTGAAGTCACTCAGACAGAGAAAGACAAATATCATATATCACTTATATATGGAATCTTAAAAAAATGACACAAATGATTTATTTACAAAACAGAAGCAGACTCACAGACATAGAAATAAAACTTATGGTTACCAGAGGGGAAAGGGATGGGAGGGAGAAATTGTGAGTTTGTGATTTACAGATAAAAACCAACATATATAAAATAGATAAATGACAAGTTTATATTGTATAGCACATGGAACTATATTCATAACTTGTAATAACCTATAACAAAAAAGATGCATATATATACATATATGCATATGTGTGTGTGTATAACTGAATCACTGTGCTGTACACCAGAAACTAACACAACATTGTAAATCAACTATACTTTAATTGAAAAAAAAAGAATCTGTCTCTGGCTGCTCTTGCTGGCTCATTCTCCCACCAGTCTGGCTGCCATCCCTGTGTTGGACAGCTCTGTGTATCCATCCTGGTATCTCTAAAAAGCAATGTGTCCAAAACTTCATTCACTCACCCCCATATCCCAAAGGAGTTTTCCTTTCCAATCTCCTGTGTTAGCTGGTGCTAGCACTCACATTCTGGCTTCCCAGAGTCCACAGAGATGACCTGCTTTCATTCCTCTCTTACCCAGTTCAGTAATGCTTCCATTAAAATGTCTACAGTCACTCAGGATTCTCCTGTCCCACTGTCATCACATTAGCATGACTACTACACTGGCCGCACTGGGTCCAAACTCATTTGTGGGGAATCCAGGCTCAACCTAATCATCCAACCGAATACCCCTCTGCTCCATTGAGCTTAATCTTCTCAACGTCTCCACCAGCCCAGCTCCGTGCATGTTCTAGTCTCTGCATCTTAGCTTCCCTGATGCTCCTGCTGCTGGGATAAAATTACTCCCTTCTCCCTACCACCAACCTGACAACACATCCAGACCCTTCCCACCTGTAGCCATCACAGGTGATTAACATGATTTCTCTAGGAGGGCCATGACAGCTAAACAGTTACTCACATACTGGAGCCATATAATAGTAACAATGATTTCCTTTTATATACTTTACATAGTGGGTCACTGAAACAGTCCATTGGCCCCTGATACAATAGATGAGCAAGTAATAAATATTATTCATGGGGTCTGAAATGGGACGCCCTTTTCCTTTAAATGCAAGATTGGTGAAGGAATTTTTAAGCCAATTACGTAAGAACTGCTTCAACTCTCTCCCATGAGAGCTAGCCTTGGGTCGGTGGCACAAATGGCCTTGCTTGCTTGAGTTCCCAACCCAATTCTCCACCATTTTTCATCTCATTGTCCTGCCAATACACACACACACAAACACACACACACAACACACTCCCGCACAACTTCTTTTCTGTAATAAGTGCAGCCCTGATGAGGAAAAGGTTCTCACACTGTGGTCAAGGTGACCTACTTCAAGCATTTCCACTAAAGTCCACATACAAGTTCAGTGCCAAATCTCTCAGATTTTTGACTGCTCCATATTGAAAAATATAAAATTTAAATATTAAAAATTAAACATCTGTCAGTAAGTGAACTAGAGTCCCACAGAGCAATGTGTAACGCTTACCTTTCTCGGAAAGAATTTCGGGAGCTACGTAAGTCGGAGTCCCACACACAGTGAATATAGGTCTCACCACATGCTTTGCTAGACCAAAATCGGCCAGTTTCAAGGTGGTAGATTTGTCCTCATTTCGCTGAACCTGTAAGAAACCAAAATCCCCAAACCACCAAAACGGTGATGAGAACAAAGAAGGAAAACTGAGACAATCAGCATACACGGTCAGGATAAGCAAACAATAAACCACACAAGCTTATGGATTAGCCCGACATTGACAAACCCAACCTAATCTCAGTGACAAGTGTTCACTAAGGAACCAACAAGATAGACTTACTCTGCTGTCCAATATGGTAGCACCATGTTGTCACAGATGGCTATTGATTTTAAATTAATTAAAATCAAATCAAATTAAAAAGTTGGTTGCCCAGACGCACTAGCCACATTTCAAGTACTCAAGAGCCATCCATGGCTAATGGCTACCATATTGCACAGTGCAAATCTAACATTTCCAACATCACAGGAAGCTGCATTGAGCAGCACTGAGTTAGAACAAGGATCAATGGTATTTTGAGCACAGGCTAGCTTTAACAAGAACTAGAAAATGCCTATGAGGGATGCAAAGTCTGGGCAGAGGGAAAACAGATAGGAAAAAGAAGGTTTAGAATGAAGAAGTAGACAAATAAGCAGTGGAAGGATGTTCATCATATACCCTAATTTGGGGAACTCAGGAAGTAAGAATCCAGCAGACCAGGAGTCTTTAAGTCTAATTCAAAGACTTGCAGCTAGACGGTCTTGAATAAATTTCTTTACTCATCTGAGCCTCCATTTTCTCATTTGTTAAATTAAAAAGAGGGAGGTGATAATTTCCAGCTAACAGGCTTATGTCAGGAGTTCCATTCAACGACTGTAATCTAGCCTGCAAAGTCAGCCCCAAAGTGACCAACAGTTCCAGACTGCCCGGAACTGAGGGGTTCCTAGGATGTGGGACTTTCATTATTAAAACAAGAACAGTGTGAGGCAAACCAGGATGAGGTGGTTATCCAGTCTGCACGTAATACAAAAATAATCAATGCTATTGAACTGAGATATATTCCTATGTATTGGAATTGACAAAGTGGGTTCTGTTAACATTTTCATGAAGGTGAAAGAAATCATCTCTGATTCTTCCTTTAGACTCCTGCAGGTTTTAGAGCAGAGAAGAATTAGTCATTTTTTAAAACAGAGAAAAGATACAGCTACCCTCCTTATAAAATTAACACAGAGCATCAACTGTTCCCCTTTGTCCTCATCAAAACATATCCCATCCGGGTCTCATCTCCTCAAACAAGCCCAAGCGATTGGCTTTCAGATCTCTGGTCCACAGATTCCCACTGCCAAGGTCATGTGTCCTGCCCTCCCTGACCCTCAAGGTACATATCTGCATGTCAGGTGATGATTGTTAGGAAAAGTTGGGTCTTAAAGAAATGAATCTCAAGAGGTGAGCTTAGCAAGAAATAATAAAACTAAAGATATGTTACATCTCACATCAAAAAAAAAAAACAACCCACAATGAGGGGGACAAACTTAGCAGGTCTTGCAGCAAGTAAAAGACGCATGGTACCCTCGTGTTCTGGAGGCAGGTCTCCACTTTGGGAAAAGGTTAAATAGTTGTGCACAAATCAACCTCCTTCAACCCGAACAAGTAAGGAGAAAGGCAACCCAAGAGGAGGTCTGGACTCCAGACATCAGAGAATGTTAGAGCAGCTGCCTCCCCCACCCAACCCCACCGATGAGTGTCACCTTGGCAGACGTTTTAGAACAACAAGAAATAAAGGCACAAGCCAAAGGGTTCTCACACTCCCTTGATTTCTGGGATGGAGGAAGCTAAACACACCTGGGTGATACCTGACTGATTCCAATTCAGCTGCAGCAGCCCTGGGCCCTGGGCTGGCTGCGCTCTGCAGGCACCCCAGCCAGCCCCACCTCGCAGCTGGTCTGTGCACACCTGGAGGATCCTGGCTCCATTTCCGGCAAGTGTTCTGAGCCTTTTGAGCAGCCCTGCCACCCAATCATCACTCTGACCTCATCTGGGACCCAGAGTAAATTTCTCTTGGTGCTCCAACCGAACCACAGAAATCAGCCAGCACCATCTCTAAACAGAGAGCTTTGAATGAAAGATTCTGCAAGGGGGCATCTTTTCCTCCCTTAGTGTCGTCTGCTTCCTGGGAAAGATGCAGCCCGCCCAAGACCTGTCGTTACAGCCTACCTCCCACCTTCCTCCTAATGTAAAGGACAAAGCTTGGGGCTGCCAAGGGTCTCAGGCCCAGAGGGGAACTGATCCATAAGACAACAGAGATAATAGTGGAATCTTAAAAAAAAAAAAATGCACTCATAGAAACAGAGAGCAGAAAAGTGTTTGCAGGTCTGCGAAAGTGGGGAGGTGCTGGTCATGGGGTACCAGCTCTCGGTTACGAGATGAGTAAGTTCTGGGGATCTGATGTCCAGCATGGTGACTGTAGTTAATAATTTTTTATTTTTTATACTTGAAATTTGCTGAGAGCAGATTTTAAGTGTTATCATAAAAAAAAGTAACTAAGAGGACACTTTAAATATATTAAATATGTATTTAAATATCTATTTTGCCAATTATACCTCAGTAAAGCTCAGGGCAGTGGGTGGCAGGAATTAATGCAGTTTTATTTAAAACATACTGTTAAATCTAAGAGTAAATAATGGTTTGTTTGTTTGGTTTTTTTTTGAGGCAAGTTGTCAAATCTTTATTTTCCCCTTAAAACAAACAAACAAAAACCAAAGAAACAAAGCCAGTTCCAGCCCTTACTGCTGTCTTTATCTTGAAGCCTGTCAGCCAGCAGGTGTTCCTGGGGACTCGGCCACACAGCAGTGCACCCAGGGACACAGCCACCCTCCACCAGGAGGGATCACTCCCCGGCCCTGCTCAGCCTGAGGGATTTACAGCAAAAGCCCTTTTTGTAACAACAACCTCTGGTCCACCTGCTTCTGGACCTTTGTGGGGGGCTCTGGATGAGGCCTCCTCACCTCCTACAACAGAAAGAACCCTTTGCTGGATGATTCAGCGTCATACACCAGCTACAAGCATGGACTCTAAAGCCGACATCCCATGTCAGGACTCAGACTCCGGCTCGCCGTTCACTACATACCGTTCACTACGTAACCGTGTCTCCATCACCTTGCTTGTCAAGTAGGGATGTGAGAGGCCTTACAGGACGGCGATGAGGATTAAATGAATTAACATTTGTAAGGTGTTATAAGCAGTGCCTGGCACCGAAGCAGCACAACAGAAGTGTTTGTTAAGTAAACCGTATTATTTTAGCCTCCACAAAAGCTCACTTGTGAAGAGCGGGACTGACTTCAGGCAAAAACCAGTTCAGAAAGTCAGACTTGATGCCCCCTGCTCCCCTTTCAGGATCGCCTAGTCCAAACTAGGCCTGGCCCTGGTCTATCTCTGCCATCAAGGCTCCACCCCCCTCCTCTATTCTTACCTGCCCCACATATCATGGTAGAAGCTGATTACTCAGGTGCAGGTGAGCTGGGTGGTTAATTCGAGTGCTACCTGGGTGATCTCATCCAAGTGAGACTCACTGGAGCCACTAGGGCTGATGGAGAAATCTTCAACTTGTCTGCAGGTGCACACATTCACATTTCTACTGGAACCCCCATCAAGGTTCCCAAAGCTCCTCCCAGCACTGGGAGGGCGGGAGGGCCACGGGGAGGGCTCTGGTGCTCCCTGTGTCCCATCAGACCCACCGGCACAGCGACACCTGGAAACGCAGGGCGGGCAGCCACTCCCCAGGCTCCCCAGACACGGGTAAGTGCGCCCAACCTGCTCTGGCTCCTGCCAGAGAGCGTACGTCTCTGTAGCAGAGAGTGTCTTCATGACAGCCCCAGTCACCACTGGGCAATCTAATCCATGTCTCCATAATGAACCTAACCAAATGGAAAACCCTAGATGCAGAACGAAAACGCACTTCTGCTCCGGTCTGTGCATCGAGACAGACGCAGCCTGAGAGGAGACAAGGGAGGTAATTATTAGAATAATTCACACTAGAAAATCTAGTTTGGAAGGGAAAGAAAAAAAAATAGCGTGCTGCCTTAAGTTTCCAGATGGACCGTCTACATGAATCACATTTGCTGGGTGACTGCTGCAAAAAATATGCCCCTCGCAAATATTTGTAAATAGGCTCAACCAAATGATCAGCATGAAAAGCACGTGGCTGACTGAATACACCAAAATAAAGTCTGTACTCCCATGCGAGGGAACAAACATCCCCTTCCTCACAGAAGCCCCCAACTCTAAAATCTGACTTCACTGGGATGGAAGACGATTAAATAAGGTGGACGTTTGGTCTTTTCTTTAGAAATTTTTCTGAAATAAATTAAGGCTAAAATTTTTAAAAATAATAAAATTTAAAAATGAGTAAATTCTGAAAATGTATTATATTTAACGTTCAGATGCTGATGGAGACACTTTCAAACGCCAAATCTGTTTTGTTTTAATTCTATGATTCCCTTTCTAAAATAATTGCATGTTGTTTCTCACCTCCATAGCGTTTTCCTTTGAGTCTCAGCCTTATCCCTGTATGGTGCAGAGCCCGAGGGATGGTTAGGATCTGCAGAGTTGTCTGTCCCTTCCAGAAAGTGAGAATGCTCAGTGTTTTTAATTCTTCCATCCCTAGCCTCTGACATTTTCCTGAGATGTCAGTGTGACTTGAGACTTCCCATTTATTTCACCCACAGGCGCAGCTTAATGAATTACATTTAATTCTCTGTCAGTGTGAGTTTTGCTTTTGTTTTTTGTTTTGTTTTGTTTTCCAACAGGCACCTCATATTCTTGGCCTAGGACAGCTCTTATCTGAATCCTTGAATCTGAATGAGTGACATCCTCAGTGGAATAACTCTTCCTCCTAAAATCTGGGGAACTTCTGAAACCATCAAATTGTCCACCCAAACGGAAAACTTGTCGAAAACATCCTCCCCCAGGACTACTGTTCACCTCCGACTGAAATCTCAAGATGGAAAAGGTCCTGTGTTGTCATGTGGACATCACACGGCACTCCAGCCCACGTACAGTCAGCTTAACTTGTGAGGACGTTCGCCCCATGTCCATTCAAAATTCCGCCCCCT